TTGTCCCAGTTTTGTATTATCTGCAAACTTGCTGAGGGTGCTCTCTGTCCAAACATCCAGGTCATTAATGAAGATGTGAGACAATATTGGCCCCAGTATCGATCTCTGGGTTACTCCACCTAAAAAAGTGTGTACAAGGCACTAAGTGCACTGAGGAGGACCTCTGTTCCACCATTTTCCTCAAGTGTGTAATATAGTTTTGGTTGTACTGAAATAAAGCTTAATCATAACTTCTCTTAAATCTGTCACTACAACGCTGTTATGTTATGGTACCAGGGATGTTAACTGTGTTTCCTATATATTTATAGCTGACCTAATGTTATTGTATCCTAGCTGATTTTATATTTACTTTTTTTTTAAACACAGGTATAACTGTCAGGTGTGAAGATGGAAAATATATTTTACCCAGTAGATTAGAAAGACCATTTTCTTTGTATGAATGACAGAATGCCCCCCTTGCAAGATTTGTAGGGTGAAGTGATACCTTTTTGTGGACAGACTGGAAAAAATACAGAGAAGGCATACAAGGTCCTTACAGACCTGGGATGGAAGACGGGTGGTAGAATAGTTAGTATTGACCTTCAAAGGTAAATACAGACTTGAGAACAATTGCTCTGACTGTAACTGCAGAATGTCAACCAGTTAAGGAAAAGTTAGCTGTCATGCAGAGGAGCAAGGGGAAAGAAGTGAAGTTGTTAGAGTTCAGATCACATACACCGAGCCAATAATTTCTGTATATCACGTGTGAGGTTCTTCTGCCAAGTGAGAAAGTATCATTGATTTTACCCACACAGAGTAATGGCAGAAATGAGAGGAAGCACCATAAATCTCTACCAAACACTGTAAGTGAGCTCTGTGCATCACCTTTTTCTCCACTCTCTATCGAGGCAGGTGGGGCAAGAGTCTTCAAAAGAGAAAAAAGTGGGGCAAGAGTACTAAAAGAGGCAGTGCTAGGAAAAGGTGAAAGGGAGTTGAGTAGTTTGCCTACAAGAGTGGATGTGATGCCCTACGGAACTGCAAACAAGTTGCAGGTGCTAAAGAAGTGAATAGTGGACTTTGTGGTGGATGCTGGAAGCAATTTTTTCTTTGTGCCACTCTCTTGGCTTCATGGTGGCTCTGTATTAGCCATGAGAAGGGGTCAGAAATGCCACCTGCCTGCTCAGTGAGGATCACATTGACCCTCAATCTCAAGGGAGCAAAAGCTGGGGAATATTTGCTGCCTGCTGATAGCGAGCTCGGGTATGCAATGCTGTGGGCAAGGAGTGATGGGGCTGAGGAGACAGCTGGCCTTTGGAGAGTCTGGCCTTCTAGTTGTCTCTGAAAGGATCTTCCCCTACTATGGCAGTGATTGCTCTACAACCACTCCAGGAATCAAAGCTCTGGGATAAAACATACTGCAAAGGGAGTAGAAGCATGCACATTTGCTTTGATGTTTGATAAGAGGGTGAAAAGTGGGAGAGAAGTACCCCAATCTAATGTAGGGTAGGTAGACTAGCTTTCAAAGGATCATGTACAGGTTAACAGTGGAGAAGATTTCAGTGTATCATTTCTCCTGTGCTTTGTCTCCTTTGAACATTTTTGCCCACCATCTGCATGCTCTCTGTCTTTATACGCTTTTGTCCCTCACGGCTTCTCTGTTGTGTAGGAGTGGAGCTGGGACACGACACACCGCATGTTGTAAGGAGTTGGTTTCCATGTGGATCCCCCAGTGTTGGCATGGTCTCACCACACAGCTATTCTCAGATGCAGAATGCTTCCTGGGTCTCCTTGGTCAGGGAAAGAGAGTGACTTTTCTCGCCACAGGTAGATTTACTCATCTTCCCCAAAGATTCCTGCTCTGGATTGCTGATCTTTGCTGACTTTCACTGACCTTATGATGGTGAAAGTTCTGGGAACATTTCTTCAGCTATTTTTTTTGCTTCACATAGTCTGATGTGATCTTCTCGTATAAGAAAGTGAAGATTCTACCTCCTGTTTTTGTTCCTCATAAATGTATTTGGACACTCATTTAAATGTCACTGCAATTTATATTACACATATCTACTCAACACTTAAAGATCAAAGATGATCCTTTCATGCAGGCAAATGGTCTCATGGGGGGAAAGGTAGCAACATCGTGCAGGGAAAGGAGGATGAGAAAGGGCAGAAATAATTTCAGGTGCTTAGGACAGGAACCTTAGGGTTAGACATCTTTAAGATTGAGCAGGTGTTTTTATGAAGGTTGGAAGAGAACAGGCAGAGGGAGAATATACTGACAGGTACACAGAATAGGCATGGTAATACTTGTGATGGCAGCCAGGAGACAAAGGACAGCTGAAAAGACAGAGTGCTGAGAAAATAAAACATACAAAACTATAAGAAAGGAGCAATACATTTGCCCATTCCCAAAATTCCACCCTGTAGGTTATTCATTCTTTCTGTAAATGCGGTGCTGTTAGGGTGCATTGCTTCAGTGGTCACTTATATCCCTTAATGTCAATCTCAGACGATCAGGCAGAAAAAGCCCAAGGCATGCAAACATTGAAATTCCTGTGAGAAGGAAGGTCATCCTGCCCCATTTTCACACCTTTCCTCACAAGGGAGGCCTTGAGCAAGTGGGAAAATGATGCCAAGCAGGGCATGCAATGGCAAAAAATACACACTGGCAACATGGAGACATCAGATGAGGTCTCTACACTTGTGCTAGAGAAAGGGCCCAAGCCTGCACACCCTGCCAGAGGTTGGCTGAGTGTGGTGCTGACAGAATGACAGCTCCCAAGCACCGGCAGAGGCTCTCAAGGGCAGAGACACAAGTTCCTTGGGCATCTTTCACACCCAGATCAGAGGCAAGTGTCCTGAGCAACCTCTCTGTGTATGTGCTGTGGTACGTCTTTCCCAAACCCAAGTCTGAGAACAGCCTGATGTACACAAGGATATCGGAGGCAGTTAGCAAGATGCTGGCGGGCAGGTAGTAATGACTGCACCCCAGGGGACCCTTCCTGGTGGCTCTTGGCATCCACCATAGGACCACCTGAGCTCAGCAGCTCTTCTGGCTGCCATAGAAGAACACAAAAAGTGTGGACAAGTGATATTACAGCACATCACCTGATGTTCCTACTGCTGCTAATACTGATGGAGCTGAATGAGCAGATGAAATAACTTAAATTTGTTTCAAGTTGAGGGGTTAGAGAGCCCAGAGAAAGTACTCCCCAAAATACTACTATTTTAAGGCTGATGTAAAGGCGTTTGCTCACATAAATATTCCCATATATTAAAATGGGATTGCTCATGTGAATATATCAGGTCTTATGCAATGTTTGGTGTTTTTTTCCATTTATAAGGTTTTAATATGACTACTGTTGTCTTTTTTTCTGTGGTATTCCATATTGTTACCTCTTTCTAGTTAGGTTTTATAAATACTGCTTTATATAAATAATGTTTTTGATAATTTTTTTGCCTCTCTTACTGTATCATTGTTAATTTCTGCATTTGATTCAAACTGATGAGAATGTTTTTATTACAATTCCTTTTATTGACTATATTGGAATGAATTGCAAATATCTCTTATGCACAATTTCCTCTTATACCAAAAAATTCTCATTCCTTTTGATCACTTTGTATGACTGCTTGTTTTCTCAAATCCAGTGTATTTTCTTTCTTGCTTTTTTTATCTTTTTCTTTTGTAGGTGTTGCTGACCTTCATCCAAATTCTGTTCTTATAATCAGGTAACATAACCACAAGCTTTAAGCTTCTTCCCAGCTTTATCCTTTCTCATGTATGATGGATGAGCTGCATTTAAGCTATAGCCACCAGTATCTCTGTTCAGGTCTATGCCCTGGATACAATGGGGAGCCTTGCTGTGGCTAAGGGAACAAGGGAATGAGGGAAGATGAAAAGAAGAACTGCAGTTAGAGAGTTTGGCAAACTTTTTTCACAGGACAATGACTGTGATCTGTTTGCTCTCTTTAAGAATCATCTGGAAGTCGGCTTTGCCACAGTGCTTGCTCAAGCTCTGATTTGCCTTTGAATTAATTGCTGTGATTCTCAGCCTTATTATTTGTGTGTACTGTGTCACTGATAATCCAAATCACATGTGTTATATCTGCTGCTTGGTTCAAAGGCTCGTTAAATCCACAAAGGGCTTTCAAGATGGATGTGTATGTTTCCAGTGTGCCTACATATTTGTGTAAGCCTCTGTTTGCAAATTCATGTCCAGAGAATGTAAGTAGCGCTGTCTTCAAAAATTTTTACTCACAATCTGCCATGCAATGCACTTTCAAAAGCATATAAAAAGAAAGTGAACAATTTAATGAATGAACACCGGTCTGCAATATTTGCCCATGTTCATACTGTTTATAGAAGTATGATACACGACACAGAATTTTATGTACAAATAATGCAAGCATTGCCTAATAAAGACTCCAGACAGCACAGTGCACTATGAATATTATATCTGACTCCAGCTGAATCCCAGTGTTTAAGTCTTCCATGGTTTAACCCCAGCTGGCAACTCAGCACCACGCAGCCACTCACTCACTCCCCCCCACCCAGTGGGATGGGGGAGAGAATCGAAAAAGTGTAGAACTCATGGGTTGAGATAAAGACAGTTTAACAGGACAGAAAGGAAGATGATGATGATGATGATGATGATAATAATAGGAATATACAAACCAAGTGATGCACAATGCAATTGCTCACCACTTGCAGACCAATACCCAGTTAGTTCCCAAGCAGCAAACTACCCCCCCCCCCCCCCCCCCCCCCCCCCCCCGC